ATGGTTTCATCTAGTCCTGCCATATGTAATACTTAATAAGCTACCTACATTTTATAGTTAGGTCAGATCCACCCCAGTTATTATTAAAAATGTGCTGTATTTACCAGTGTTTTCTTTCAGCAGTTTTACATCACATCCCCGGGAGTAGAGCTGAGCCGCTCCGGTTTTTTTCGGGGGGTTTCTCCCCCGGCCTTAGCGCCAAGCCCGGGAGCGGCGGCGAGCGGGGCTGCCCGGGGCAGCGTGCGGTCCCCCTACGGCCCCCCGTGTCCCCCCACGGCCCCCCGCGGGCCCGGGCCGCGCCGCTCCGCGTTATTTATTGCGCCCGGGCCGCGTGTGTCCTTCCCCCCCCCCCCCCCCCCCCGCCACCCCGCCCCGTCCGTGTACCCCCCCACGCGTGTCCCGCGCTCGCATCGTCCCTTCGTGGAGCTCGTCTCGTTTATTTATTACAATACCGAGTCATATATAAGATTTTCAATAAAAGCCGAATCTTTCTTACCGTAACTGCCGCTTTCCTCTTTACCTGGGACCCTCTCGCCCACCCCCCCACCCCACCCCCCGCGCTCCCACGGCCGGCGGGGGGGCCCAGGGCCGGGAAGGGTCCGACCCCACGGGGGGCAGCGGCCGCCGCCGCCCCGCTAACGCAACGAAACCCACCCGCGGGAAAAGTTTTTCGTTTGTTTTTAATAAAACACAAGGCGGGGAAGGGGAAGTCAAACTTTTCCCAGCGGGGCGATGCCGCCCGCCGGCCGGCGCGGGAGATGCGCGGCCAAAAGCCCCGCCGCGGCCGCGGAAGGAGCGCACACGCGGGGACCTGAGCGGGCGGCGGGGAAGGAGGGAGCCCAAAACCCGCGGGGACGTGGCTGTCGTCCCGGGAGGGACCCGCCCCCCCAACTCCTCATCGCCGGCGGCTCCGGGTGCAACTGCGACCACCTCCGCGCCTCGCCCTCCCACTGCCACCAAAAAAAAAAAAAAAGCAAAATAATCCCCCGTGGAAGAGGGGAACGGCCGCCGGTGCCCCGTGGGTTGTGCCGTCCCGGGGGGCCGGGGGCTGTCCGGGTGCCCGCCAGTGGGTTTGGCCCCACGCGAAGTTGAGGAGGATGCGCGGAGCCGCCGGGAGGGCAGGGGCGATGGGCAGCGGGCTCCGCCGAGCCCCCCTGCCCCCTCCAAAAATCCAGGGAGCTGGGGGGGGGAATGAGGGGGAAGACACCATCTACACGGGCTCCGCGGCCGCGGAGGGCAGCGGAGGCTCGGGTGGGTCGGGGGCCGCAAAGCCGTGTGAGGTGCTGAGCCCCGAAGCCTGGGGCTGTCACCGGGGGGCGAAGGGGGGGGGGCCGCGGGCTCGCATTCCCCCCCCCCCGGGGGGGGTGGGGGCCGGTGTCTGTCTTTTAACGCGCAAAAAGTAACTCAGCCCCCGCGTTGCGTGAAAAATAAGTGTGTTCCTCCCCAAGCCGGGAACCGGCCACAAAATATGCTCCCCCCCCCTTCCTCCCCCGCCCCGAATTGCCCCCTCCTTGCCCTTCCCCGCCGTCGGGGCCGGGGGTCGCGCAGCCCAACCCCCCGGCCGGCCGCCGACCTTACCTGGGCGCAGCGGGGAGGGCTCAGGCTCCATGGACGGGGGGGTCGGAGTCAGCCGGGACCGTCACGTCGGGGGGGGGGGGGGGGAAGGACACACGGTGGGGGGGACGGGACACGGCGAGCCCCGCGCCCGCCCTGCCCGCAGCCCCCGGCCCAGCCTGCAGGGAGGCGCCCGCAATTGGGGATTGGGCAACCAAGATTGTTGGGGGGGGGGGGGGGGCGGGGGGGGACGGGACGGACAGGACATAGATACCCCCTTGGGGGTGGGGGGGGAGCGCCGGGGGGGCGGCTGCTGCCCGCCAGAAGCGGGGCCGCCCCGGCGGGAAGAAGTGATGGGAAAGGCGGCGGGGGGAGCGCGGCCCGGGAATTGCCCCGGCGGGAGCGGGGCAAAAAGAGGGGAGGGGGGGGGGGGGGGGAGCTAAAGGTGGGGGGGAATTCCCCCCCCAAACTCTTCCTCCTCCCTCCTCCCTTTTGCTTTTTTTGTGAATGGGCCGCGGCGCCTTTGTTGCGGGGAGAAGTGCCCGTGTCGCTGACTTTTGCGGGAGAGCCGGTAAAAACCTCCTTTCCTCCCTCCAACTCGGCCCATCGTCCCCCCTCCCGCCTGGATTAGACGGTTCCCTCCTCGCCCGGGAAAAAAGAGGAGAAAAGAATTAAAAACAAACAAACAAACAAAAAAATATATATAAAGGCCGGGGGGGGGGGGGGGGAGGCAAACCGCGCTGGGGCCGGGGCCGGCGGGCAGCGCCTTTAAACATTAGCTCGCTTTCAGCTCCAACTGCAGTTGGGGGGAGCTGATTTGGGGAGCCCAACAAAAGCCGCGCAGCGGAGCCCCCGTTCGAGGTGCGGGGCCGCTCCGTCCCCTGCGCGGTTGCAGCGCGCCGCTCCGCGCCCCGACCCGCCGCCGCTCCGCTTGTCGCCGCCGCTGCCGACAACGAGTCGGAGTGCGCGGAGCGGCGCGGAGCGGCGCGGAGCGGGGCGGTGGGTCCCGTTCCCCCCACCCACCGGCCCTGAGCCACCCCCACCCCCCCACCCCCCCAGCCGCTCGCCCCCCGCGGCGCGGGGCAGCCCCTGAATTCAGGACGCGGGGGGGAACGCGCGGCCGCTGCTTTATTATTATTCTTCTTATTTTAAAGCACAAAGTTTATGAGAACCTCCAGGAGCCGGAGCGGGGGGGGGGGGGGGGGAGGAGGGCCGGGACCCCGCTCCCCCCTCGGCTCTCCACCTCCCCCCTCCAGCAGCGCCCTCCGCGCCGGCGCAGGCGGTGGCCGAAACTTTTCCGCGGGTCCCCTCAGACGGCTGGGCGGAGGGAGGCCAGAGCTGCGCGGGCGCGGAGCGGCTTCTCTCCGCACAACTTCTCTTAACGATTTACACACACACACACACACACACACACCCCCCAACACACACCCCCACACCCCCCATCCCCTCCGCGGAGCTTACGCGGCGTCCTGCGAGCCCACCCCCCCCACCCCTTAGCTCCGGCCGGCCGGCTCGCCAGGCCGGGCGCGGCGGCGGCGGGTGCGCGGGGGAGCGCGGAGCGGCGCGGAGCGGCGCGGGGCGGGGGGGGGGCGGGGGGGGGGGGGGCGCGGAGGGAGCCGGCGCCCTGCTCTGCCATTGCCCGGGCGGCTGTCAGTCAGGCGGGGAGCGGCCGGGGATTGGCGCCGGGCTGGTTACGCAGATGCTTTGCGCGCACATACAAGGGTAGGGCCGGGGGTAGGTGATCAATCCTCATCAGGGCCGCGGCTCCATCGCCCCGACAGCGCGGGCCGCCGGCAAGGTAACGCGGGTGCGCCCCGACAAGTTGGGGGTGCGCGGCTCGGCTTCGGGCATCCCCCCCCCCTTCCCTCCCTCCCTCCCTCCAGCCCCCCTCCCCAACCCGCCTCTCACCTGCCTGACCCCCCCCCCCCACGCACATCCCCCCCCCTTTCCCCGCCCGTCCCCTCCCTCCGCGCCCCCCGCCCGCCCGCTCCGCCCTGCGCGCAGCCCCCCGCCGCCGCGGGCGCTCCGCAGGTGGCCGCGCAGGTGAGGCGGGCGGGGGGCACCGCGCTCCCCGACGGGGCGGGCGGCGGGACGGAGCGGGCCCACGGCACCGGCACCCGCGGAGCGTGTGTGTGTGTGTGTGTGTGTGTGAGGGGGGGGGGGGGGGGTAGGCGCGGCCGGGACGGGGCTGTCCCGAGATTTTCCTCTTTCACTCTTCTTTATTTTTATTTTTTTTTTTTTTCCTTCCCCCCCCTCGCCGCCCCGGGACGGTCCCGCTCCGCGGCAAAGTTATGCAACGCCGGGTCACGGCGCTGCCGCCCGGGCCCGGCCCGCCGGGAGGTGCCCCGCACCCCCACCCAAAACCCGCCGCCCCCGCGGGCCGGGATGCCCGCGGTGCCCCCGGGGGGTGTGTGTGTGTGTGTGTTGGGGTGTGTGTGCGTGTGCGGGGGGGGTGGGGGGGTGCGGCTGTGTCCCGGCCACAGCAGCGGGGGCCGCCCCCGGGGCTCGGCGGGGCCGCCCGGGGTCTCTCCGCCCCTTCCTCCCCTCCGCGTTTATCTGCTGCTTTTTGCCACCGGCCGCCGGGGTCCCGCGTGTCCCCCCCCGGCTCTGCCGGACCCCCCCAGCCCCGGGCCGGGCCCCGACGCCCGCTCGGGTGCCTGCGCTCTCCCTTTTCCTTTTTCTCTTTTTAACTCTTATCCATTTCTAATTAAAACGTCCCCCGTCTGCTCGCTTTTAAATTAATTATACTTCCCTCCTCTGGTACCTCCTTTTGATTCCTAATCCAATTATCTTTTTAAATAATTGCTTTATCTCTCCCCATCGCCGGGCACTGTTGCCTCTCGGCACTTACTCGCAACTCGCCTTCGTTTAAAACAAAATCCTCGTAGCAGTAATAATAATCACAATAATAATAAACCTGACAATTAGGGGCGGCCCTCGCGGAGCCTCCGCGCCGGGACGCGCAGCCCCGCGGCCGCCCGGCCCCGGGCGCCCCTCGGCCGGCCTCGGGGCGGCCGGACCCTCACCCCCTCTCTCCACTCTCTCCCCAGGCGCTCCGGCCTCGCCTCTGCGCGGGGAAGAAATCCGCCTTTTTGTTTCTCGATCTTCGTTGTTGTTTTAATTTTTAAATTTCCTTCTTCCTTTTTATTTTTTTGGGGTTTTTTTGTTTGTTTGGGGTTTTTTTTTGCCCTTTTTTTTTTTTTTTTGCCTCCCTGAGCCTGCGATCGCTTGAGGACCTCGCAGCGGTGACGGCGGGACGGAACGAAAAAAACTCCTTTTACACCGATTTTGTGCTCCGTTTTTAAATTGTTGTTGGCTTTTAATTTTTTGCCGCTTGTTTGGGGTTTTTTCAGGGGTTCTTTTTGTTGGGGGCTTGTTTTATTTTTTTTTTTTTCTCCTTTTCCCCCTTCCCCACCCCTTACATTTGATTTTTTTTTTTTTTCCTTTCCTTTTTTTTTTTTTTTTTTTTTCTGCGGGACTTTGGAGGAAACCTGCCCGGCTTTTAGCATGATGTCTTACCTTAAACAGCCCCCTTATGGCATGAACGGGCTGGGGCTGACGGGCCCTGCCATGGACCTGCTGCACCCCTCCGTGGGGTACCCGGGTGAGTGCCCCGCGCCGTGGCCCCCTCCCCATCCCTGCCATCACCCCCCCCCATGCCCCTGCGGGTGCCTTCTCCCGGAGCGGGAGAAGCTCTGTCCTGGGCGGCTTTGGAGGAGCCCGTGGGGTTTGGGATGGGCTGTGGGGTGGGTGCCCCCCTTTACCCACAGCAGGGGGGCAGCGCCAGGTCCAGCTGAATTTCTCCCCATCCCCGGGGCTTCTTCGTTCTCACGGGGATTTTTAAGGATGTAAAAAAAAAAAAAAAAAAAAAAAAAAGCTTTAAAACCCCAAGAAGTAGATTTATTTTGACACAACGAAATGTCAGCGTTGCTCCCGCCGGGGCCGGGCCTGACTCTTCCCCAGCCCCCTGCCACCCACGCTGCCCACGGCAGGACAGGGGCTGACCGGGTGGGCAGTGCCCGGCTGCCGTGGGGCTGGGGCGCGTGGGGAGCGCTGCTGCTCTTTGGGGCCAGGGTAGGGGGATGCCTCTCAGGCCCCTTCCCCAGGGGTGTCGGGGCTCCCGCCGGGCTGTGGGGGGAGGGGGGGTGCGGGGGTGCCCCGGTGTGACCGGCGTGGCGGTGCTCGCCCCCAGCCACCCCACGGAAACAGCGGCGGGAGCGCACCACCTTCACCCGCTCGCAGCTGGACGTGCTGGAGGCACTCTTCGCCAAGACCCGCTACCCCGACATCTTTATGCGGGAGGAGGTCGCCCTCAAGATCAACCTGCCTGAATCCCGAGTCCAGGTACCGGACCTCCGCAGGGAGGGGGGGGTGGTCCCCGTGATGCTGGGGGTTGGAGGAGTTGGGGGGGGGGGGGGGAAGTGGGGGCACCCCAGCTCGGCTGGCGCCGCTCGCACCCGGCTCGCCGTCCATACTCGTCCCTCTTTCCTCGGGGCTGGGATGCTCCCAGGCTCTTGGCCACTTGTCTGTCCTGCTGTGGGGGCATCCAAGCAAAGGAAGGGGGAGCTTTACTTTTCCTTTTTTTTTTTTTTTTTTATCCTCTCTTTTAAATTTTATTTTTAGCAATCATTTTCTGCCCCCTTCCACCTGCCCCAGGGTATGGCAGCCCCGCTACCCGGGTGCTCCCCCAGCACTGATTGATGCCCGGCGGGGTGGGATATGCAGGCAGCACCCCATGCAGGATCCGTCCCCCAAAACCCTCTTTTGTCACCGCGCTGGGGACATGCACAGACTGGCACACTCCAGCCACTGGTCCTGGGCATCTTTGCTTGGGGCGGGATGCAGGGTGGCCTGGGTGCCAGGCAGGGCTGTTTTTTTTTTGTTGAGTTTTTTGTTGTTTTTTTCTTTTTTTTGGGGGGGGGTGGTGTGTGTGGTGCTAATGGCTGGGCGTGGGTGCCGGGAAAACTGGTGCTGGGGTGAGGTTGGCTGGGTGCTGCCAGGGCAAGGAGGGGCAGCGGGGTGAACCCCCCCCCCCCCGCCTCCCGCTCACCCTGCCACCTCTCCTCTCCCTGCTGCTCATCCCCCCCCCCCCTTCCCCCCCCACCTCTCCCTGCACCCCATTTTCTCGCTCCAGGTCTGGTTCAAGAACCGCCGTGCCAAGTGCCGGCAGCAGCAGCAGAGCGGCGGCGGGGCCAAGAGCCGTCCGGCCAAGAAGAAATCCTCGCCGGCTCGAGAGAGCTCGGGTTCGGAGAGCAGCGGGCAGTTCACGCCGCCGGCGGCAGCCTCCAGCTCGGCCTCTTCTTCCTCCTCCAGCTCGGCCTCGTCGGCCCCGGCGGGCGCCCCAGCGTCTCTCAGCACCCCGGCCTCGTCCATCTGGAGCCCGGCTTCCATCTCTCCCGGCGCGGCGCCGGCGGGGGTGACGGTGCCCGAGCCCCTGCCGCCCCCCGCCGCCTCCTGCATGCAACGGGCCGGCCCCGCCGCCGCCGCCGCCTCGGCCAGCTACCCCGTTTCCTACGGCCAAGGCGGGGGGTACGGGCAGGGTTACCCCGCGCCGCCCTCCTCGTCCTATTTCGGGGGCGTGGATTGCAGCTCCTACCTGGCGCCCATGCACTCCCACCACCATCCCCACCAGCTCAGCCCCATGGGGCCTTCCTCGGTGCCTGGCCACCACCACCACCACCCGCTGAGCCAGAGCTCGGGCCACCATCACCACCATCACCACCACCACCACCACCAGGGTTACGGCGGCACCGGGCTGCCCTTCAACTCCTCCGACTGCCTGGACTACAAGGAGCCCGCCGCCGCCGCCGCCGCCTCCTGGAAGCTCAACTTCAACTCCCCCGACTGCCTCGACTACAAGGACCAGGCGTCCTGGCGCTTCCAGGTCTTGTGAGGGGTCGACCGCCGTCCCTGTGTGTCCCCCCACCCCCCCCCCCCACCCCCCGCCAAAGCCACCACGGACCCCCCACCCGGGGTCTCCCCGCTGCCTCCCGGGCAGGACTCTGGCTCTGGTTCTTCCTCCTCCTCCTCCTCCCTCTTCGTTAGCAGTGGCAATGCCCTGGGGGGGTGGGGGGGGGTTCCTGCCACCCCCATCTCTACTGACTGATATTTATTTGCTTCCTGCACCCCTCCAGGGGGTTTATTATAATTATTATTTTTTTAAACGCAACAGAAGAGGAGTTTTAAAAAAAAAAAAAAAAAAAAAAAAAAAAAAAAAAAAAGTAAAAAGCCTAGCGTCTCCCCTGCTGCCCCCTGGGCAGAGGCACAGGCTGGCTCCTGCCCTGCCAGTGCCCCCCCCCCCCAATTTCACGCGGGGACCCTCACTGCCCCAGCTGCGGGAGCCCCTGGCTCGCCAGTCCTGTACAGCCTCTTGCCGCTGGGAGCGGTGGGAACAATGTAAATACTAGGTCCGTTCCAGTGACCATGATTATTTTTAGTTGATGCTGTTGGGTTGGCATTTATCTAGAGTCTTACTTGGAGCAGAACTTAAAAAAAGACTTTTTTTTTCTTTTTTTTTTCTTTTTTTTTTTTTTATTTTAAATTTTAATTTTCTTCCCTAAAAATGAATCTTTCTCCGTCTCGTGTCCACCATCCATCCTCAAGGGCTCCGCCCGAGCTTGGCCGCGCCGTCCTGGGGCTGGGGGTGGTGGTGGGGGGAGGGATCAGCAGCCCAGGGGGTGCCCAGAGGGGAGGCAAAGGGGGAGAGAAGGGCTGCCCAGCTGATCCGCAACCTGCAGACCAAAAAAAGCAAAACTTTTGGAAAAAATTAAAAAAAAAAAATAATAAAAAGGAAAGAAAAAAAAAGCATTTAAAAAAAAAGTTTTGGTTTATTTTTTGGGGGGAGGGCTGCAGGGGAAAGCAGCTGTACGTTGGGATGCGGGGGAGCACAACTTTTTGGGAGTGTCATTTTTAGTTTCTGGTTATTTTTGGGGTGGTTTTTTTGTTTTGTTTTTTTTTTTTTTTTTTTTTTTTTTGTTTGTTTTTTTGTTTGGTTGTTTGTTTTTTTTTTTTTAATTTTTATTATTTTTTAGCCCCTTGGGGTGGTCGGTGCATTTCCATGGGTCTGGGCTGCAGCCCCCCGTGCCCAGCTGCCTTACCCACCCCAGGCTGGTGCTTTCCAGCAGCTTTGCCCCACGGCGGGAGAGGGACCGTGTATGTGTGATTTTTTGATGCCGTAACCCCCCATTTACCCCTTCAACTGTAAGGCACCCCGCCCCCCACCCCCATTACCCCCATCCCAATAAAATCCAAACTAATAAACACGGTGGTGTCCTGTCCTCCTTCCTCCCCCCCTGCCTCCTCCTCCCCAGGAAACTTCCCTGGGGGGAGCGAGATGCTGGGAAACGCTTCCCGGGGGGTCCCAGCAGGATGGAAAGGGGAGGGGGGGGGCGGGGGGGGGTGTGATGAGTTTGTGAGTGCTGCGGAGCGGGGCACCCACGGCCACCTCTGCGGGTGCGAGCTGGGGCTCTCTTTTCTGGTAATCGATGCCGTTAATTGGTTACCGATTTATTGCTGCGCCGCCGCGCCAGCGGGACCGCCGCGATGGGCAAACGCTGGCCGAAACCCTCCCCCCCCCCCCCCCCCAAACCCCAAACTCGGCACCCCGGGGCAGGCCTGGGAGGGCGGGGGGGGGGGGTGAGGGCCGCCCAGACATCCAGCCCCGCGGTCAAACCTGTCCCCCCGCTGCGGGCAGGGGGGCGCTGCCTCCCGCCCCCCCCCCCCCCCCCCCAGCCGCTGCGGGCCGCGGTCCCGCCAGGGATAAAGGGGGGGCGGGGGGAGGGGGCAATTAATTATTTCTCCCCTCTTGTCGTTGTGTTGTTTTTTTTTTTTTTTTTAATTATTTAATTTCCTCAGACTCTTCCCCGCAGTTGTTGGAGGCTCTGCCCACTGGTGCTGGGGCCATTCCCACTCCCGCCCCCCCCCCGGGACCGAGGGCTGAGGGACCCACCAGAACTACCGCTACCCAGTTTGGGCCATCGATGCACTTGTTGGGCGGGGGCTGGGGGGGGGGGGGGGGGGGGGGGGGAGGGACATCCCCAAATTCCCATCCTCCTCCCTGTGGTCTTGCAGCTGCGCTCACTGTAGCCAGGAGCTCTGGGGCTGTGCCCTGTACCCGCCCCCCCCCCCCCAAAATCCTGGTTGTCCATCGCGGGGGGGCGGGAATAGGTGTCAAGGCACCGATGTGCTCCGGGCGGCCACTCTGGGGAGGGTTTGCACCCCTCCAGAGCACACACACACACACACACACACACACACACACACACACCCCCAGCATCCCAGTGGGGTGCAAACTGGTCTGGCAATGCGCTGCCGCGGATGCAGCAGGAAAACGGGGTGGGGGGGGTGGGGGGGGGTGTCAGCCCCGGGGGGGGCGGTGCAAGCCCTGTGCTGCTTTCCAGGGTTGGCCCCCAGCACCCCCACGGTGCAGCGGGGAGAGACAGGAGGGGATGGGTGCAGCTGGGTTGAATTTAGGGGATTTTTTGCTCTTTAAACAGTTCTCCTTGTTGTCTCCTTCAATGCGCACATCTAGATCTATTGAAGTATTTATATATATATATATATATGTGAAATAATTGCTCTTTTCTTCAAGCACCAGCCAGACACTCACCACCCCACAGAGTGGCTTTGCAGGCAGTTCAAGGGAGGACCACGCGTGCTGGGTCTGGGTGTCACCAGCCTATGCATTCCCCCCCCCCCCCCCCCCCCCCCCCCCCCTTTTCTTTTAAAGAGCAAAAAGTTATCACAGCCCTCCTGGAGCTGTTACAAAAAACAAAAAAAAAAAAAAAAAAAAAATCTGTGCTGAGCACAAAGTGAACTGCTGCTGCCCTCCCAGATTTAGTGAGCACCTGAGGGACAAGAGCCATCAAGTGTATAACAACCCCCGCCCCCCCCCCACCTCATCTTCTTCAAACAAAAATGACACACTTCAGCTTCCTTAAGAATCGTGTTTCATTATAACTCCCTAAATCAGCGATGCTGAGAGACACAGCCAAGAGGGGAGCCTGAATTTCAGTTTTGGGGACGTGGTGCTAAACTTCTTCACCCAGCGCCCCACATTGTGGCGGGGCCTGGGGTCTGCTTTGGGGGGGGGTGGAGGGGGGAGGGTGGGTTTGGGACTCCAAGGAGTGCTTGCATCCCCCAGGGAAATCCCCCTCGCCCCCCTCCCCTGCTCCGGTTTGGGCACCCCGCAGTGCCCAGCGCCGCAGCCCTGTGGTTTCTCCAGCAGCACCCCCCCCACCCCAATTTGGGCATTTTCCTGCCCCACTCGTGCTGCCCTGGAGCACCTGAGCCCATTCCCGATCACATCAAACAACGGCTTTGCCCTTCAGTTTTATTTTTATTTGTTGTTGGTTGTTGTTGTTGCATTTCTCCCAGCCCTGGGTTTCTTCGAAGGTCGACCAGCCTGACTCGAGTGGGACCAGCCGGTTTGCCGGAAAACAAATAAAATTGCCTATCGGGTAGAACACCCCCCCCCGGAAAACCAGCGCGGTGACTAACCCGCGCGATGCCCGCCGGCGCGCCGAGCGCGGTCAGGCCTCGTCCTCCCCCCGCCAGCCGTGGGTCGGTGCCAGCAGCGTGGACAAGACGTGACTTGTGCCTGTTGGTGGGTCATGGATTTGGGGAAGGGGGGGGGGGGGTAAAAGGGGCCAGCACCCCCCCCTACCACCACCACCTTTTCCCTCTCCTTTCGCGAGGAGCACGCCCGCAGCGCTGGGGCTTGGGTGGCAGAGCGAACGTCTCCCGCTGCGGGCTCTCCCGAGGCTGGAACAGGCGCTGCCGCCCCGAGCACAAGTCTTGGCAGGTAAAGCGGCTCCGGGAGCAGGCGCCGGCGGGATCATGTGGGTTTGGTTTTGTTTTTTTTTGTTTTGGTTTTTTTTTTGTTTTGTTTTTTTGTTTTTTTTTGGGGGCAGCCCGGTTGTGAAACAGCCACCTGGGTGACTCGGTGCCTCACACCTCAAGCAAGAAGACTGCTGGGTGCGTGGCTACTATTAGTACCTTCTTTGGGTTTTGTTTTTTTGTTTTGTTTTTTTTTTTTTTTTTTTTTTTTTTTTTTTTTTTTTTTACAATAGCATTTGCTGTCGGTGCCACGGTGCTGGGATGCCGGGTTACCCGCCCCGAGCCCGGTGAGGCTCCCGCCGCTCGCCCGCAGCCAGCGGCAGCTCCAAAGGCACACGGTGCCTTCCTACCTCTAAGTCCAGGGCCAGGACTTGGTGGGGTGAAAGAGGGGCAGAGAGGAGAGAACACTACCCAGCTTGGGCTGGTGGTATTTTTTATTTATGCTTGGTGTATCACGGGCCTGAAATAATTTATGATCTTTTTGACGTCGGCAGGGTGTTTGCTCCGAGTCCCCTCTTGGAAAGCTTTGCTTTTAACCCCTCTGTACACAGCACAGGCAGCGGCTTCACCGCCCTTACTGGCTCCCAGCGGTGGGCAGAGACTGGTCAGGGTTGATGCCGGCTCGGGTGGCCGCCAGCCAGCTCGGGTGCAGGATGCTCTTTGGGGATGCAAAGTGTTATGGCCGAGCATGAATGAAATTATTACCAAAAAATTATAAACATAAATCATGTTCTAAGTTTCAGGAGACGTACCCACTCCCACCACCTACTACAGTTATTTTGTAGACGGCCTTTCTGGCAGGGCGCAAAGAAAACAGATGATTACAGCTGAATAAGGAGCCATCGCACCCAGCCATTTGTGGTTTTCCCGGTGCTGACCTCTACGTTAGCCAGTCACTGCTAATTCATGCACTTTGAGTAGCAATTAATGCACATAAAAGCCCACATTCGTTCCAAACCTGTTTTGAATTTGTCAATAAAAATCTGCCGGTGTAACTCCCAGCCGAGGAACCTGCTACACTGGAGAGCTCGTCTTTCATGTCGTATGGCCGAGCACAAAAAGCCGTGGGGAAGGAGGAGGGTGAAAATGGTCAGAGGGCTGGAGCCTAAAGGAAAACATATGCCTATTTCCAGTTAAATCCCTATTCAACACCTTTTTTTTTTTTTTTTTTTTTTTTTGTCCAGGACAGACAGGACTTTTCCAAGAAAGCCAGGAGAGGATTTTTGTTTTTAATGAAAAACTGCAATTTTAGGAAACGGCATTCTGGATCTTATGTACATTTCTAGTATCACTTCCTGTATATTTTTAAACTGAAATCCTCTTAGCATGCAAAGTAAATAGATTATGATATACTGAAGGATTAAGAATCACTGTCTGGTGTCAGATTAATCCCTCATATAGACCATCACTTGTACTGACAGAAATATGGCTGCAATTCAGCAGAATAGCTGTACGGCGAAGCAATGCATCGCAGCATCTTATGCAGAACAAGCGTGCGATCACCGCGGTCCATCGTTGCGCCGTGCGTATTTCAGAAATTAAATTTAAATCTACGGGACACGAAAGGCATGCTCCCCTCCAAGCGCTGGGCGAAGCACAGCCATTACAGGCACGGCTCTGCGTGGGGAGGTGGTGCAGCAGCCTGCTCTGTTTCAAAGCTCTATTAATTTTTCCCTGTTGAGTGTACAAAAAAAAAAAAAAAAAAACCAAAACCCCAAACCCGTGCATGGCAGCCCATTCGCTTCCTTCAAACTGCAAAGCAAAAAGTCTCCTTCGAAAACGCTCA